TAAGTGCAATTTTTAATGTTTGTATCAACTTGTATTGATAAGAATATTTTTGTCAAGTGCAATTTTTAATGTATGTATGAACTTGTATTGGTAAAAATGTATTTTGTCAAGTGCAATTATAGATAGTGTATCCAATTTTATGCTTTCTTTTTCACCTTTTTGACATTATTTAATAGTTACTATTTTAATAGTTGCCAAATAAATATTTATTTTATTGAATGCAAGCAATCAAGAGGATTAGAAAATTACAAAAACTCATTTTTTAATCATGATTTGATCATTTTCTTATCATTTTGACATTATTTAGATATCATTTTGATGTCATTGTGATATGCTTTTTTACATACCTAGTTAAAAATCACTTAAAAATCATTACTACTTCAAGAATTTATCACAAAATGCTCCTAAAAAAAACCTGCTGTGGGCTCGCATTGGCCGTTTCTCCTTACCTACCTTTAATAAAATCACATTTTAAAGTATTGTTTATTATGAATAGAATTTGAGTTTAATGAAAATGTAAAAATTTTTTAGCTTGAAAGATTAAGTCGGGATGCGGCGTTGTCACGTTCCGTCGTCGATATCGCGTCAATTGATGATCATAGCGCTTTCTTAATAATAATTGCAAACAAGCAAATCGTTTTAAAACTTCGCAGAAAACATGATACAAAAAATACAATTTTTAGCATTGGTTTTAATAGTTTGTGAATGATTTATTATTTGTCTCAGTTCCCGTAAGACCCTATGTTAAAATAGCAATATTAAATAACACAGGTTTACACGGTTTTGGACCCGAGCAGCCAAAAGGTGTTTTTAAGGTAATTTTCGGCGCTGATCACAAATCCGCAGTCCGTTTTTTGCCATCAGGTCAGGTTTTCGAGATAAATGATTGAACCATTTTTATCAATTTTCAACCATAAATTGTCATTTTATTTGACAAAATACAAAAAATTAGAAATGGAGTGCAGTGGAACTGAGCCGTTTGTATTGTTTTGGGTCCGTTTGACGTGTTAGAGACCAACAATAATCGCTAAGCATTCCTTCATCCCAAAAACCTTTGTAGTTTCTCTCATACAAGGTGTGTCCCAAAAGTCATGAAATATATTTTCTTGCCGCACCCCTTCTGGTCGCAGCGTGTTCGAACCTGTTGGGTGAGGTAGAGGGGGGGGGGGCCTTATCTTCATTGTGCACCAACGGTCAGTCTGCTGCGAAAATCAGAAGAACCAGAATAGTTGATTTAGTGCACCCTTGTTTCGAGACCGCCATCATGACGCGCGATGGCTACTTTCGAGCAACGTTGGGCGATCAAATTTACGTAACGATGCGATGCACAGTAGTTTTCGGAATGTTCAGAGTGTCAGCTAATAACTGAACACTTATTCGTCGGTCAGAATTTAACAAATCACACGCACGAGTCACATTTTCATCGATTTGGGTTGTTGATTCTTTGAACCTCTTCAACTAACACGAAACTTGCACATACGATAGAGCAGACTACCCGTACGCTTGCTTGAGCAATTCGTGAGTTTGGGTAACTTTTTTTGTCGAGTTTTGTGCAAAATTTGATCGCCCAACGTTGCTAGAAAGTAGCCATCGCGCGTCGTGACGTGGTCTCGAAACAAGGGTGCACTAAATCAGCTATTCTGATTCTTCTGATTCTCGCAGCAGACTGACCGTTGGTGCGCAATGAAGCTAAGGGCCCCCCCCCCATCTCACCCAACTGGTTCGAACACGCTGCGACCAGTAGGGGTACGGTAAAAAAATATATTTCATGACTTTTGGGACACACCTTGTATGTTACAAACATATGAAATCTCAAAAATCTGACCTGATGGCGGGAAACGGGCGACGGATTTGAATTCGGCGCGCAAAAATATGTGAAAAAACACTCTTGTCTTCTCGGGTCCAAAAGTTGACCGATATTTGTAAACCTGTGTAATTAGTAACTTGTAAACGAGCAAATAAAAAGAGTTTCATACTGCAACTCTCGTATAATTTTTAGATTTCTAAACTGTTGTTCGTGAAACATATGGTCGAACGTTATCATGAAGCAGTAC